GCCAGGTCACCACCACAGAGGGCGGGGTGCTGGCGGAGCAGCCAGGGAACTCTGGGCCCCCCAGCAAGTTAATGATCTCAGGGCACGAGGAGAGGCGGCCACGCGGACCAGCTTCCTGGGCAGCTTCTCCTCTGACCAAGCCATCAAGGTGTCCAGCCCACATTCAGGCCTAAACTCTCTCAAACATCATCCGCCAACAGATCCAGGGCATGAAATCCTGGTTTTCCTATTTTAAGAACTAATACAATCAAGTCTTTGGAGCTCCTAAAACATGAAACTTTGAAAGCGACAATGTTATGGCATCCTCAGCTGACCTCGTGGGAACAGGCTAGTGTTAACGGGGCCTCAGCAAGACACTGTCTGCACTCCTGGACGGCCCCTGCCCACTCTGGTGTCACTTCGGAGAGAAATACACAGGGGACCGGGGTAGGGCGAGGGGGACATTCTAGAACCATCTGCATCTATTGAGAAGGGAGAGGAGAAACCTGTCCTCCCTGAGTGGGCAAGACCCTAGGCTGGCTCAAGTTTTGAAAGAAAATCTCTATCTCCTCTGGAAGCAAATACTAAGGATAAGAAAACTTTTAGAAACAGGAATTCAAACTAAGTTAAATACCAATCTGAGTTGTTTCTAGATAAGACTTAGAAAACTTCTGCGCTCGCTTTCACTTTGAATAAATTAAGCATCTGCAAGTCGGAGAGAACCTTACACAGTCGGTACTGGACTGTTGGGTGAGGGAAGCTGGTGTCAGCGTCACTTAATGGGGAGGGCAGCAGGTCACAGGAAGGGCACGTGAGCCCCCTAGAAATTATCCAGGGCCAAGATTATGCAGATGCAATCCAAGCCCCTAACAGCCACCAGACCCAGAGGTCCCACAAAAGGCAGCTTAGCCCTGAGGCACCGGCACCGTGAGTCCAGTTGGGCTCGCCGCCCACAGGGAAGACAGAGGGTGGGCGGGAGGAGACGCAGACACCTGCCCCATGCCTGGCTCCAAGGTGGCCTCTTCAACCTTCTCCTTCTTCTGCAGGTTTTGTCCTGGTCATCGGGCTGGTGACATTCTACAGAATTGGCCCATACACCAACCTGTCCTGGTCGTGCTACCTGAACATTGGCGCCTGCCTGCTGGCCACCCTGGCTGCGGCCATGCTCATCTGGAACATTCTTCACAGGAGAGAGGACTGCATGGCTCCCCGGGTGATTGTCATCAGCCGCTCCCTGACCGCACGGTTTCGCCGTGGGCTTGACAATGACTATGTGGAGTCACCATGCTGAGGGTCACCGGGAGGCTGCTTGGGACTTCCCCCACCTTGGGGACAGTGGAGGAAGTAGGGTGCTGCCTGTGAGAAGCTGCGACCTACGTGGTTTCCTTATAAACATATGTTCACTATGTTACACACCAACCCGGTGGGGATCTTATATCGCCCACGCCACCCGCCCCCTCCCACACTCACGCCCACTTCCTGCCGGCGCTGGGCCCTGGGAGCCCTGCACCTGAGAAGCACATGCACCTGGCACTCCGCCTGGGTCTGAGAGTAATTTATCCTGCACCTGCCAGGAGGGGCAGCCACAGTCATATTTACTTCGGTAAAGCAGAACTCGGGGAAGATTTTCTTGAACTGTCAGTGATCTTCCTCCAATGACTCAGAATTTATAGTCAGATGGTTACGGCTTTATGACAGGATTGTGTTAGTAATGTCCATTTTACTCCTGATTATTTTCCTAAGTTAAAATAAAATGCAAACCTCTCACCACAGTTTAAGACTTGTTTTATCCATAACACTGCCACGCAGTAGAAGGAATCTGGCCTGTTCTCTCGCAGTTTCTGTGGGCTGGCAATAAGGGAAGGGTTGATGCACTGCAGAGGTCGGTGGGGGTGCAGCTGTGGGTCTCTTGTGCCCTCACCGTGTTTCTGTTCAGAAATCCACACTCCCACAGACCATGAACACTGTGGCCACATAAGGGCAGGTCGACGATTGGCAGAGTAAGAGGGGGAAAGTTCACTGGCTTAAAAAAATTCAGACTGGCTTACTTTTTTCCTGTAGAAAAGTCTTCAACCTACTGGCCAAGTGCTTGGTGGGCTACAGAACGCCTTTACAATACCAGCCTGGCTCAGACCACCCTGGGCCTAACTCCAGGAGCAGGCTCAGCTGTGACCCCCAAATGAACAGAAGCACCAAAGAGCTGCACCTCAGGGCCCAAGACAAGGTCGGGGCTGCCAGGACATACCTGTGAGGACAGTCCTCCAACAGCGCCAGCCTGGGGGACCCCACTGCCACCTGGCGGCGGGAATCACTGCCACCTTTTCCAGCCCAGGAAACCGTGGGGGGGGCACCGTGTAAGGCCGGTAGAGGTGGGGAGGGCCCAGCTGCCTCCCCCATACCAGGCCGACCCTCTGAGAAACATATAGCTTTGCTGTTTTCAACCTTCCAGACAATGTGCGGTGACCAATCTGGAATCTGGAGCCCATGCTGCCCCAGGAATTTGTTTTCAGTCAGAGAAAATGATGGATCGAGTTGGTGCTTTAAAAAAAACATAAAGTAACTGAGGACGACTCACAAGCATAGCCAGCCTGACCAGGACGATAAACACAGCACAGCACAGACGGTACAGCCGGCACACTGAGGGGGCGGGGCGCGCAGGGCTGGTGGCCTAAGTAATATTATGTATACGACTACACAGACGTACGCTGAAGTTTTAAGCCTGGCCGTGTGCTCACTTACCATCTGTGATCGTGCTTCTATTAAACAGAAAGAGCCACCAGCCATGCTTCACTTCCCCAATTAAGAGCCTCTTGTCCACTGGCCCGTGGGGAAAGGCCCTCTGCTTTAGACACAAGACCAGGAGAACATACTCTTCTGAAACCGTCACTGCAGTCGAGGGGCCAGCTCAGGGCAACTTCACTTCCCACCTTCCTCCTCCCACTTTAGTTTCATTCTTTAATAGTTTTTCGACCCTTTGGCAATTAAAATCTATTGAATGCTCTTGAAAAGTTCTCAATTGTCCCAGAAACAGAGAGGAAGCTGCTTGTAGACAGCCTGTGACTGAAAACTTTTCTTAAGAGCAATTTTCATTGCATTTTTGCCTGCCATTTTGAGTGTTTACTATCAAAATCTTTTTCTGTTTAGTACAATTATTCCCAGAAATTCAGGTATTGTAAATATTTAGTGACTACAGAACTTTCAACTAAGAAATGTCCAGACACTAAAATAAATCCAAACAACTAGATTACAGTCTGCAAGGCTCGAGCAAAGCAAGCGGGCGCCCAGATGCACCTGGGCTTCCACCAGCACTGGCCTTTTCTTGAGTGAAAACTTACGAAACACACACGACAGCCAAGAGAGTCAGGGATAGGGTGACTTGCAGGGGAGGAAGGGCTCTGCGGGCGCCTCACACCTCAGCGGATGGAACCCTCACCTTTTGATGAGCCTGATGGACCTGAAGGCTTCGTCCGTGTCCCCGGCAGCGAGGAAGAAGCTGAAGCGGAGCATGGTGTCTCGCGTGGGCTTGTCACAGTCCTCTAGCCCCACAAAGTACCGCAGGGGCCTCTTGCCCACCGTCTGGGGGATGCGGTGGGACCCAGGATCCTCCTGGTCCTCTCCATCCACTTCTCCAGGCTGAACAACAAAGGGCACCGTTTATTTAAGATCCTGTGACCCAGAGCCTGCCCTGGGCCTGGGGAGACACGACAGCAGTGGGCAGCTCCCCCTGCACACAGACCCCAAGTTCAGCAATACTCTCGGCAAATGCAACATAAGCCTGTAGGCCACTCGAGGTATCAGAGCTCTGGGACCTGGTTTCCAACAGCGGTGAGCAAAGGCCATATGTGTGCAGGGCCTTTCAGCCTCTAACCCTACTGACATCAACCTCTCAAACAATGAAAATCCCCGCCTCCCAGCTTGCCTGTAAACTTCCTAGGAAGAGCTTTTACTATCAAGTCAGACTTGTGTACATGTGTGTAGGGTGTTAAAAATTAATGTCAGCATCATTTTAGAATTTTCAAAAATGTAAGCTGGGCTAGGCGTGTGCCCTCCCCTGGTGTTTCTCAGAAGAATCGTCACTTAGTGCAGTGCTCCCCCAACACCCTGGGTGGAGGAAGGGTGACTACCGTCCCACACGAGCACAGATTTAGAGCGCGCTGTCTGGGCCACGCCTTCTGTACCAGCCACGGCC